TAATCTTAACCCAGCGAGACCTATTTCAGACTCCTGACCTCCAGAATTGTAACAGAATAAATTTGTGGGAGTTGTTTTTTTTTTTTTCTACAAAGTCTGTGGTCATTTGTTACAGCAGTGAAACTAATACAGATACAAAACTACCTGTGATCCTTTACATAGTGTTCTGTGTTGGCACCTCCTCTTGGGGCCGTTGTGGATTCATATACATCTCGTACACAGCTACGGTACAAGACTCCTTCATAACTCGACTTTACTGGCTAGAGGCGTCTTGGGCCATCCTAAGCAGTAACCCAGAGTGGGGAGCTGCTATGGCTACTGTGGGACCAGCTCTGTGCAAACCTCTTCAACTGAGGGGCCGTCACAAAGGCAAATAAATACCACGGCTGCGCTAAGTATGAATAAATCTTTAGGGTGATTCATGCTGATGAATTGAGATCAAGGGTCAGGTTGGATCTGGGAGACTGTGTGTGTGCATGTGTGTGTGTGTATGTGTGTGTGGATTTAACATTCCTTGTCTCATTAAGATTAGTCATTCTAGGGCTATTGACATTCCATCTGCAGCAGAACCACTGAGGCCGTTCAAGGAAGAGTGTGCAGCCAAGCCACACTCCTGATGGCTAAATTTACAACCCACCAACGGTGGCCTAATTTATTTGGGATCACTACTAATGTTTCATGATCACACGCACGCTTGGCTATGACTCCCCGTGTGGCAAGACAAGTGGAAATGCTGTGGGCTGGTAAAAAAAAAAAAAAAAAGTTTGCTGTTCAAAAACAACTTCTTACAGGCTGGTTAAAAGCGTTAGCTCATCCACGTCCAGCTGGCTTGAGCGACTGAGGGACATGCGCCAGGAAGGCCAAGGCCTAAGTATACCCTCAGGGCCAGTGGCCTTTCCCACCCCATGCTGGACCCAGACTCTACAATCAGAGCCTGAAGATCAGGTGGGCGCCGCGGTGGGAGGTGAGCGGAGCCATTGGGGGCACCTGTGCCAATTCATCAGTGGCAGTGCCCGGAAAGGAGGGCGGGCGTGGGCCTCGGTTCTGTGCTTTCAGGATTGTTATGTTTCATCCTCACGGCAGAGGGCGCTGAGGAGAGCCACCTGCATCCTGCCGACAGCCACCCGCTACTGTTCTTTCATGAGGGCTGTAAAAGCATGTAGGAGCCTTGCTAGCGTGAAAGCAGAGATTCTTTCACTTAAGGGTTTTATCACTTATCTTTCCCCTCCATATTCATTGCGGCCTTCTTCAGTCTCCAGTTTTCATTTCTATGGTCGGCTTGATGTATTGCTTTCCTATTCTTGTGAACCATCACCTCTAAATTATTGACATTAATGGAGAGAAGCCTTCAAGGAGAGCAGTAATTAGATGAATTGTGCTGCATTAAAGTGCTTCATAGATTGAAAAGGGATAAAAGAAGAAGCTTTTTCTTAGTAGACTAGGCGCTCACCCAGCTGCCTTGTGGCTCACCAGACCGGCTCTGTTCCGCCTTCAGACACACCGGGCGCGCGGGGGCGGGGGGGCAGCAGCCCAGACCACCTGCGCTGGGGCGGCCCGATTCTCACCAGAGGTCAGCTGTTTTGCTCCCAAACTTACCTATGCCAGGTGTACTCATTACCTAGCTGCATAATTAAATGTTCTGGTGAAGAGGGGGCACCAAAAAAAGATGTCATGTCCACAAAATCCAAGTTAAATGCAGTAGAAAGAATTGATGAAATCAAGTCTCTAAAACTCTTGCTGGTAAATTTCGTATGGGTGAGTCATAGTTAGGCAAGAAAAGTCAAAAAAAAAGTGAAAGGAGAGGATCGTGAACTGTATTCTTTGCAAGTGCTCCCTCCACTGTAAGGAAACAAAAATGGAAATCACAGATGCCCATTATGGGTGTGTCTTCTCGCTAGAAAGACTGCAAGGAGTGCCAATTAATGGCCTTTGCCCTACACAAGAAGATAGATGATAGTTTTATATTTACTGATTTTAATTTAAATTGAAGCAGTTAAGGTTTGGGCGTAACTCCCTCCTGCCCCACCTTTGGTCAATTGTTTCAATTATTGATATGTTTCCAACTACTGGTCCTGGCCTGGTCCTTGTGAGCAATCCCTAAGCAAGGGCTGATTTCAAATGGGTTGCCTTTCTCTTGAAGTTTGTGCACACAAAGATCTCACCAGTCTCTCTAAATGCCAGGGAAGGGCTGGCCTCTCACCGGCTGCTTGGGGCAGGGGCAGTTGTCGTAGGACTTACGATTGGCCAGAGGATAGTTGTCTCAGTGTAAGAGACAGCCCCACATCGTCGGGAGCAGGGCTGATCTAGGATACCCTGGGTAGCATAAGAGCTCTCAACACCACCCCTCCATGCTCTGGGTCCTAAGGCATCAGAAAAATAGGAGCCTCCTGGTCGTGGAAAAGTAGTGTATGGTCAGGAAAGAGATGTCATCAGACAAGGGCAATGAGGGAACACAAGTCATGGTCTGTGATCTCTCCTTACAATTAGTAAACTAAACAAAACAGAATGCTCGCAAGCTCGCTAGCTAGCTCTGATTTCTTCTCAATACTTCCTTGCATTTACTACCACAGCTATTACTACATTCTAACACTAGAGGGCAACGGTGTTCCTAAAATGAGGGTTTGTGGCAGAACCGAAAAATCACTTAGAATCAAGGAATTTCAGAGCTGTTAAGAGGTCTTAAGAATCATTTGGTTCACTGGCTTTCAAAATTTTTTCAGCTGAAACACATAGCAAGAACTGCATGCTTCATAATGACCCAGTTCATACATATATGTTTGCAACATTTTGAGGCACTACTTACCCTGTCTTCTGCAATGCACTCTAAACAGTTTGTATTCCAAACTATTTCATTTAAAACAAAACAAACAAACAAAAAACTGCAACCACTATATAAATTTCATAACCCAATAGTGTGCCATTAGTTTGAAAAACCCTGACTTGGTCCCAGCCTCTCATCTGTAATACAAAGGGATGCACTGACCCTGAGGATGGAGAAGGATGCTATCAGCTACACTTCTCTCGCCCACCCAGCCACCTGCTAACCCCGGGTCAGTCCTAGAGTAATGACAGATATTGTCCAGCAACTCAGTGCTCACTCTAATAATGCACTGATTGGATAAAGAGTTTTGAGGGTCTATCATTTTCCACCTCTTGTCAATGCTACGACTGCTCTTGTAATTGAAGCAGAAATTCCTTGCATTGAAGGCTCCTTGCAGGTGGTGCCTGTTCTCCTCATTCAAGCAGTTTCAATCAATCAAGCAATTTCACTGAATTCCAGGGAGAAACTGAAACCACTTTAGTCTCTAGAGTCTTGACCCTGAAAATCACTAAGTTCTCTTCCTTGGCTCCTTGATGTTAAAACATTTATAATCACTTTGGGAGGAAAATGTAAAGGTAAACCAGATGATCGAGGAAGGTACCTTTTCTTAGGGTCAATGTCCTGGATTCTTCTACTTCTTAACTCCTCATCCCTCTCATGCATACCTGCCTCTAATTTATTGATTATCCCTCCCAGCTTTTTTAGGCCAAAAAAGGAGATCCCTTTGAAATTCAGGATTATATTATTACAGACAAAAACAGTAACTGAGCTCTCTGTGGATAAGACAGGAAGTTTTTCTTAACTCACTTGGATTTAGTTTATTTTATGAAAAGTGCCAAGTATTTTATTTTTTCAATAAGGTTAACTAAATGCATGAAAATGCAAATTATTTTATTATTTAATTATTTTTATGGTCTTGGAAGAAAAAAAAAATTCCTAGGACCTGAAAAATTCCTGGTGCACTTTAGAAATCTGAGCTTGGTTTTCTGTAGGGAATCCTTGCCACTGATAACCAGGGAGGAAATATTCAGGGGGGCCCCTCTTTGGGCTCTGGGAGGTGGCGACTCCCTTACTTTGATAGAAAGTTCTCAAGCTCTGTTCCCTCACTTCTCTGTTGGGCTGGTAAACTGAACTTTTTCCTCCCTGACACAGCAAGATCTGTTAGAACAGGTGACAAGCACAGGTTGCCTTTTTTTAGGAAAAATTTTATTTCACCATTCAATAAATCTAGACAAGCTGGGTGTAGGGTTAAGTCTTTAAAGAACCAAGGCCGAACTTCCAAATGGCTTTCTCACACCCTTAACACCACGTCTAGAACAGTCTTAAAGAAAAATCCTACAGCCACTCTTTAAAATTCTATTTACACTATTTACTAAACTCTAGATTCCTTAAGGCTGAGTCTACAGGCTTCGTGGAATATTGGAGGATTACTGGAAAAAGCATCGTCACTTTTGGGACAGGCTAAGTGTAGTTCTGTAACTTTCGTAATCTTCTCCTTGATGAAGAAAGCAACGTAGCTCCACAGGCACAAAATGGTACCTACAGCCAGTGCCTTGAAATCAGCAACCGAACGAGCTGCCACGTTCTTATTCACTCCGTTCACAAAGAAAACAGCCCTGGTTCACTCACTCCCATTAGATTAAAGCAGACGCCAGGATTACGAAGGTTCTTGCCCAGGCCAACGCGTAAATTGCAATACTATCCTGAAGCCCTTGCAAGATGGCCTGCAATTAACCAGGGAACGTCAGCGGTTCGGCCTGGAAACTGGCTTAGATTTTGGAAATTCCGCCCTGAACTAATGCTCCGTGACCACCCCATAGCAACCAACTCTGGGTAGTCGCAGAAAACATCAAGCCTTGCCTTTTGGGCCTGTTCCTCAGTTTCCCCATGCACCTCTTTCCCAGGTATGGGAGCTGCCCTGTAAAAAATCTTTATGGCCTCGTAAACGCCAGAAAGAACGAGCCAGCTTTCTACTGACTCCGCGCACTGACTGGCCTTTCCACGCCTAAACAATTCCCAGCGCCAAGGCGCGAGCCGGGATCCCAGCAGGGGCCTGGCGCATCACAGTCTCCCTCGCGGATCCGCCGCCGGGCGCACAGGCGCGCGTCCCCAGGCGTCACCACCCACGCGGCTCGCGGCCGGTCCCCGCGCGCACCCACTGTGTCGCTCTGGTACTCACCCACGCGCGGCCCTCCTGCACCTCAGCCAGCACTCGAAGGGCGCTGGGCGAGCTCGCGCGGAAGTTGAAGAAGTGGAGCGCCGCGCGCGCCGCCTGCGACAGGAGCCCGCGCGGGAGCTCCGCGTCCTGACGCCACCCGGAGTCCTCGGGCTCCCCAGACCCCGCGGGCGCCGCCGCCGCCCCCTGGAGGGCGAGCAGCAGGAGCAGCGCGAGCAGCGGGGCGGCGGGGTACGGGTCCCCCGGCTGGGGCGCGGGAAGCGGTTGCCGGCGGAGCTGCATGGGCGCGAGCTGGCGCGACGCTCGACGGGTCGGGGCTTCGAGCGGGTTGCGCCGGCGCTCGAGTCAATAAGGCCGCGCGGGCCCCTCCCCTCCGCCCCCGGGGCGGCCGGCTGGAAGGAGTCCGGGTCCCGCTCGGCCGCACCCTCTCGGCGCTTCCCGCAGCCCCTGGGCCCCTCCGCCCCGCCCCACTACGCTTTGGGCTCCCGCTGCCCCGTCTCCTTACGCGGCGGACGCGGCGGCGCCTCCGCGGCGCGGGGCCCGGGTATCTGGCTGGGGCCGCGCGGGCAGGGGGACGAGGGGAGCAGTGGACGCTCCTCCCCCAAGGCAGAGCGGCCGGGTTGGCGCCACCCCGCGCCCCCAACCCAGCTTGGGGACCTCGTTTCTCTCCCCGGAGGCTTTTGTGATTTCGAAGCCCTTAGGGTTTCAGAGCAAACCTGCTTCAGTTCTCCAAGGCTTGGAGCTCATTTCCCAGAAGATGATAATTGGAAACAGGTGGAGAAGGGGGCGGGACGCAGCCGGCATTGTTGGGGGTCCTTATAGTACAATGACCTTGGAAGTGGGACAGGTCGCCAGAGAACTGGGGCTGGAGAGGAGGCTGCCCTGGCCAGCAGGGCAGAGCCAGATAAGGCCCCAGAGGCCCCAGTGGACTTAGAAACATTGATAACCCTGGTGCGGCACAGATGGGCGTGGAAGCCAGATTCCAGGGAAGTGAGGCATGGATTGGGCTGTAGGGCAGTGGAAGCAGTGAGGGTTGACGACTCTTTTTAGTCGCTTGGCAGTGAAGGGATGAGATGGCCATTGTTTTTAGGCCACAGAGAGAAAGCCCAGGAGAACCAGGAGGTAGATGCACTCCCCTCATCCTTTTTCCTACCTCTCTTTATTTTGTTCAGGGGTCCACCTCTCCCCAACACCTGCTGACCCCAGCCCCACTGTGGAGCTAAAGGAAGTCCCTTCTCCTTGCCAGTGACTGGTTGAGGCCCCACATGTGCGATTCTGGATGAGATATGCCGGGGGAAGCCTGGGGAGGGGGTGATGCGATGGGGTCACCACCTCTGAAAACATCCTCCCTCCCCCACTTCTCCCTCTGGATGTTGTCCATCTCTTGTCTGTCTTTTCTTCTACAGAAATTTATGGAACACATACTCTGCTAGGCCCTGGGGGAAGTGAAGAGAGGGTAATCAGATAAGCATCTCCGTACTCCTGGAGCACACCTTTTGGGCAAGGGGAGCCCAGACAATCAGAGAGGCAAAGGAATGATGGATGCAGTTACATGCTGGAGAAAAATTAAGCCTGAAAGCGGATGGGGAGTTGGTTGTAATTTTAAATAGTGTGGTCAAGGCAG